GGCGAGCTGAAGCAGGCGCAGGAGCTGCAGACCAAGCTGAGCCAGGCGGACTGGGTGCTGGTGCAGCTGGGCGTCGCGGGGTTGAAGGCGGCTTTGGACAGGTATTTCGGATATGGTGGTGGCAGGAGTAGACGGCCGCTCGGCATGGTTGCGAGCGCAAAGTTTGAGGGGGAGAAGGATGCGGTGCTGAAGGGTTTGGTTGAGTTGGAGACTTCGCTGTGAGTTTAGTTAAGCAGTAAAATTGATTTAATTGCAACCACCTAGCAAAAATTGCACACAATCCCTAACAAAACATAAAACTGAAGGCCATGGTACGATTCCAATTGCATTGCTTTCTGTTCATCCCCCTATCTTTTCAACGTGGATGGCATCAATTTCAGAACCGTAGGGCAGTATTCCGACCCCGTTTTGTTTGCTTCTGTCATGATCATCGACCAAGTGCCCTCCAGCGTCGAAAGTGAGATAGGCTTTGGGCACCTGGCAATCGCTGAAATCAACGCCGGCATAGGTAGAAGTTGTGGTGTCCACATGTTCTCCGTGCTCATGATGCGACGCGGTCAAGACTATCTTCATCCGCGGCAAGATTATATACTTGCTCGACGACTCGGGATGGAATACGTCAAATGGTGCGACCTGCTCCGAGTCGTGGGGATCAACGAGACCGACCCCGATAAAGATGTCATCTGTGTAACGTTAGTAAGGCACAGCGACTCAACATGGTCGACACACAAGGGACCTTCCTCACCTTTCGCATCATTGCGAATTGAGCTGTCGGTCCAGAACTCAAAACCGTCCTTCACCTCCGTCGTCTGACCTTTCGTGGAAGTGTCGTCCCAGACCACGGCGCCATCCTCCATCTTGATCCCGAAAACGGACCCTCCCGGGCCCAGGTGTATTTTTCGGGATTCCTGTGTGCTGATGCTGGAGGTGTTTCCACTGGCCCTGCTCCCTTGAACAGCGAAGAAAGTGCCTTCTATCTTGAAGTTTGCCGTGCTAGAGCCGTCGGCCTGAGCCTCGATAGGCGGCGACAACTGGTACACTTGAGTAGCCCCCTCCTTAGGCGGTTCAGTGAGCGGGCCTGGCCGAGAGCGAGAAGCGACAGCGCTGCCATTTGTTTTTGACCTGAATAGTGTAGATATGGGAAGCCATGGCATTCATCTACCTGTACCGAATATCTTTGATGATATTTGAGGGGCCATGGCCATTTCTGCTCTTTTTATTCTCTCTCAAATGCCCCTTGCATGCCAGCTAAGAGGCAATTTTGAAGTCCTCAGCCAGCCACATCCTTCAGCTTGCTGTAAGACCAAAAGCATCACGAAAATTAGGACCAATAGGCTTGGTTTATAATCTGAATGAATATTATTTCATCTTACTACAACACGGGGAGACAATGTGATGTATCGACATCGGTGTGATAAAGTCACGTCGCTTCAAAAGCTCCGCCTTCCCGGCTCCGGCGACACCAAGTTTGTGCCTGCTCGATCTTGCCTCGATTCTAACCAGCTCCAGCCTCTGAAGCCAAAATGTCTCACCGCAGATCTCATCTCGATGCGTCCTCTTGCTCCAATACCGTAAGACGCCCGGCTAGGGTGCGCTAGGCTGCTTAAGCTTACTGCGTAGTACTGGGCTGGCACACCAAGACCATCCTTATCCGCTCCCTGTCGAGGTGGCATGTGAGCCGTTTGGTGTAAGCCCATTGGACAAGACCGACCAGGGGTGGCTGACGGTGCTAACTCAACGCTGAAGTCGTGGGAAGCGGCCATCTTGGGTTCCTTAGGGTGAGGTTGCTGGCTGTTCCCAGTTGTTTATCTTTTCTCCGACATGTTCCTACTTGTTAGCTGGATTTGGGAACATGAAGCTGTCCTGTCAAGTCTGGCTTCATTGCATCCTGCTTTTCAGTATTCATCCAGCTCAAGTCACACAGTCAGTCTCACAGAATCTACGTACTCTCGTTGATCCAATGGCGCCTCCCCCGCCTGATCGGCACTGGCGCATGCACAACGGCCGTGACAGAGCTCCTTGCGGCAGCTGAAGCCGATTGCGGCGTTCGCCATTGAGCGACATAGTGTCAGTCGGGTCATTTCATTGGCTGAAGCTGGTGATAACGAAGCCGTCCACCAACCCCGCATCGGCTGCATCTGCATCTGGTGTCTCTTTCTTCCGCCCACTTGGCCCGTCCAATGGTCTCTCCTCCGCTTCATCACCAACCCTCCATCTTGCGCCTTATCATCAGAGGCACCTCATTGCACCCTCACCCAGCTAAGGTAGACTGCTGTCGTGCTACCTCGACTGCTTACTTCACCCTGGACTGTCAATCATCTGCCACGTTCTCCACCCCACCAGCTGCAAACACTTTAGACTGTCGATGCACCTCCCACGCCATTCGGGATGGTGCCCCTCCATCCCATCGCCAACCAGCAGCCAAGCTCTGTCAGGACGGCAGCTTTGCGAACCAGGCTCTCGATATCGCGACCAACATCAACTGGTACCATGACTCGGACGATGGTGCTGGCTAACGAGCACGTCATTGTACCAACTACTTCGTCCATCAGGATAAGCGTCCCGATGGTACTCTGCGAACCATTGGCGGAGGTGAAGGTGAAGGCTTGCGACCCGTCTAGGAACATGTCAGCCCAGATCTCCCTCACCGTCTTAGCCTGCCGCCGCAAAGCTGCATGCAAGTTGAGCATTCTTTGTTCCTCGGGTCCTCGGGCGCCAGCACAAGCTGTTCTGGGTAGTCCTCATTTATACACCATGCTGCCCTCCAGCCCCGTCCGCTCAGAGCTTGCCTCCTCGTTGTCACAAATGTCCGTTGCGCTCTCAATCGTCTGTTCAAGTCGGTAGTCTTGATCGCAGGCTTTCGCGATCATCCAAATCTTGGCTTCACGATGTACACCTCGTCGGTGATCGTCTTCGCGGCGGCCCTCTTGGCGACGGCAACAGCTCAATCCTCCAATCCCACAGTATGGGCTTCGGTCGCCCTCATGATGCACGGCGAGCGCACCCCTCTGCGCAGCCAGCTCTCCGACGTCTTGACTCCTAGAGGAGCCCAGCAGCTGTATGCGCAAGGAAACGCATTCAGGACTCGCTATCTCTCTGGCATCACTCCCACCAACTCGTCCGAGAGCCGGGTCACCTCCCGCGCCCCAATCCGAAACATTGCCCCCAATGTTGTCGACCACGCCCAGCTCCATATCCTCTCGGTCCCTGATGCGCACGTTGTTGCCGGCGCGCAGGCATTCATGCAGGCGCTCTACCCGCCCATCAGTCACACATTCTCGGTAGACACTGGCGGATCAAACATCTCGTTTTCGACAACCTCGGACAATTATACCGAGTACCCTCTAGGCGGCTACCAGTATCCTGTCATCCAGACTGCTGGGTATTTGGACCAGAGGTCAATTGGGTGAGTGGCTGACTGTGCTCCGAAGCGCACTCCTTCAGACTAACATTGAACCCTACCCAAAGCCTCCGAGGCAACACAGAGTGCACGCAGTGGCAGGTCTCAACGCAGGTCGACATGACGCGCGACCCAGACATGCTCAAGCTCTACAACTCTACCAAAGCCAAGTACCAGTCCTTCTTCACCACCCCGCCCCTCAACGACGGCGTCTACTCCCTCGCGAACGCCAACTTCTGGGACGCCTACAACATCTGGGACTACATCCGCTACCGCTACTCGCACGAAGAGGCTGTCTACGACGCCCTGATGGACGCCTACGTCAAGGACAGCCAGTTCCTCCAGGTCTACAGCAGACAGCAGCAGATAGCCCTCTACTCGGACCAGAAGCCTTCCGGCCTGGCCAAGGGCGACATGATCCGGGCGGTGGCCGGCATGTCGTTCGCCAAGCAGGTCGTGGACGCGCTCAAAGCCAACGGCAACTTTGGCGGCTACTCGCGCAAGCTGACGCTGCTCTTCAGCTCCCAAGAGCCGTTCCTGTCCTTCTTCTCCCTCGCCCAGCTCCAGCAGGGCAACACGTCGCTCTCCAGCCCCTTCTGGAACGTCCCCGAGCCCGGCGCCGCCATGGTCTTCGAGCTCATCGGCGACGAGCCCGGCCGCCCCGACTCCTACCCCAAGGACAGCAACCTCTACGTGCGGTTCCTGTACCGCAGGAACGCCGACCCGAGCACCCCCTTCGAGGAGTACGCCCTCTTCGGCTCGCCCGCCGCCGAGCCGCGCGTGACGTTTAGCTACTTCAAGCAGGAGATGCTCAAGTTCGGCGTCGACGTGGCGACCTGGTGCAGCATGTGTGCGTCCTCGCAGCCCTTCTGCAGCGTGCGGAGCACCGAGGCGCCCACGATTGGCGCAGCAATCCGCGCGGTCGTGAGAAAGCCATACGTCGCAGGAATAATCGGCGGAGCGATCGTGCTCGCCGTTCTCGGCCTCGTGGTCGCGGCGTTCGTCTTGGCCGGCTTCCGGATCCGGCGGGTGGGCAGGGACAAGGAGGACAACAAAGACGGCCACCAACCCGCAGCCAGCCTTGGCGGGTTCAAGGCGGCGGAGAAGATGGCCAGCGATCCCGATCTGTCTGTCTCCAAGCGCGGCGTCCCGCACGAGAGGCACGGGAGCTGGGAGCTGCGGGAGGGGAGGGATGTGGTGACGGGGGTTCATGGGGCGGGCATCAGCGTGGACAAGAGCAGCTCGGCCAGCAGCGTGCATAGCAAAGACCTAGATGATGATGGTGCGAGCGTGATGGGGGCGTCGCCGGTGACTCCGAGGGAGAGCGTCTGAGATATTTTTTCGGGTGATTAGACTCGGAACATTCTGGCTTTCATTCATGATACCCATTGATCCTCCTCGTGACACCACTCGCTTGGACTCGGGGAGAAGGACTTACACCGGCATTGGAAGACTTGATCATTCGCTTGAAGCATCTGGTGCATACTTGATAGAGATAGGCGAGTACAGGAACTCCTTCATTAATCTTCATCTACATCCTCATCATGAACGGATGGAACCACCATCCACTTACAACTTACACTGACTATGATCCAAACCCTCACTCCTTCGCAACCTTCAACCGACACAATACCGCCTCATTCCTATCAACCATACTCCCCGGACTACACACCACCGTGAAATTATGCCAATCCCTCGCCAGATCCACGTCCAGGCCTTCCACACCCTCATACCGCTGCAGCATCCTCACAACCACATACCCCGCCTCCGTCAGCGCGAGCTGCTGCCCGATGCAGATCCTTGGCCCGCCATTAAACGGCGCGAAATGCCACGCAGCCCCCGCGGCGCCCCTCTTCGCCTCCCACCGCTCCGGCACGAACTCGTCCGCGTCGGGGCCCCACAGGTCCTTCCGGCGGTGCAGCACGTGCGTGCTGAAGTTGACCTCCGTGCCTTTCGCGACGAACACGGGGGATGTGCCGTCCGCCCCGCCGCCGCAGGGGAGCGTCGTGTCGACGAGGGCGCGGCGCGAGTTGAAGGGCACGACGGAGTGCAGGCGCAGCGTCTCCGAGAGGACATGTTGCAAATATGTGCACTGTTTCAGGGTTGCAAAGGTCACCCTCTCCGCTGGGTCTTCCGAATAGGTGCCAAACGTGGAGAGGACCTCGGCGCGGAGCTTGGCGAAGACGCGCGGGGAGCGGAGCAGGCAGTACCACACCCAACTCATCAGACTCGCCGTGGTATCGCGGCCCGCGGCGAGGAGGCCGAGGACCTGCTCGCGGACCTCCATATCGTCGCCGTCGCAGCGCTCGCGGAGGACGGTGAGGAAGTCGTAGCGCGCGAGGGATTCCCCCCGTTTCTGGGCGTCGTCGGAGGCGGCGATGGCGTCGTCGACGAAGGCGTGCAGCGTCTTCACGCAGGAGCGCAGCTCGGCGGTGCCGTAGGCCCAGTAGAAGCTGCGCAGGCGCATGCGCACGCCGAGGAGGGCCAGCATGCGCTCGAAGGCGTGGTGGAAGGCCATCCCCGGGTGGGCGTGGTCGTGGCGCAGGCGGGCGGCGAGGGTGCAGGTGCTCTGGCCGAGGAAGAGCTCCGTCGCGGAGTCGAGGGTGAGAGAGGGGAGGAGGGAGGCGAGGCTGACGGGGGCTGTCCATCTTTCGGAGAGGCCGCCGCGCTCGATGCAGCGGAAGAGCGTCTGGACATGCGCCTCGAGCAGGTCCAGGCGGGAGACGTTGTCGCGGCTGAAGAGCGGGCGCATCATCTCCCTCGCGGAGCGCCAGGCGGGCCCGTCGGCGGCGAAGATGCTGCGGCCGAGGACGGCCTTGAGGTTCGTGCTGCGGGCGGCGCCCATGCCGAAGTCGGCGAACTGGGTGGCGAGCAGGGCCTGGACATTGCGCGGGTCGGCGGTGACGAGGTTGGTGGTGCCGAGGAGGGCGATGCGGAAGGTGTGGACGCCGAGGGCGGCGAAGCGGGCGGCGACGTGGTCGGGCGTGCGCTGCTCGCGGTCCGCGCGGAGGGAGGCGAGGACGGTGTCGATGCCGAGCGGGAGGGTGGTCGGTTCGAGGGGCGGTGGTTTGCAGGACAGGCGACGGGCTTTCTGGGCGAGGAGGAGGGAGCGGAGGGCGGAGTTGAGGATGAGGATCGTGGTGAGGATGATGGGGAGGAGGAGGTAGGGGGAGAGGTTGGTGAAGCGGGTGGTCAGGGTGAAGGCGGCGTCGACGAGGGGGTTTGGCGGCGCCATGGTTTGCGAGATGTTGGTGAGGATGTCTCGTGACGATGGTGTTCTGGTGGTGAGGTTACTGTAAGAAGCTCATCTTCGCATCGGGAGTGAAAACACCATCAAAGTCTGAGTGTATGCAGAGTTTGGCCATCATCGCGAGCTTCGGTGAGCTCCGGCCTCTGGCGGGATGACCCCACGACGGCTCATCTGTCGAGTTGTTTATTGGTCAATGGACCTACGTCACTGCCCCTCGTGAGCCCCGAGCAACGTGCTTTCGACGAGGCTTGGCATTGGCTAAAGAGCTTGCAGGTCCGAAAGGGGCAAGGGAATCATGAAAAGACAGTCTCCATCGGGTCCATCCCGACGCGGGGGGCTGACGACCCGTGGTCTGGGGATGGGTATCCTTGGATGTGTCTTCCATGACTCGGCAGGACCACGCTGCTGGGAAGTTGACAAGCATCAGGGGTCAGGGGTCAGGGGTTCTCTGGATGTTGAACCCCTGGACAAGGACCCTGACTCGGGAGGTCGAAGGAGATGGGCGCGGCCAATGAGACAAGAGCAATTTGAAGGCAACCGGCAGGTCGATCGATGCCGGCACGTTGTGGCATCATGGTCGTGTTTGTCAAGAAAATTTCTAGGGTGTTCATGAAGGCCCGCGAATGGTTCGTCGGATGGTTTGCCACGTTTTGCAGAGTTAACGGGAACAAGGCAAAGATAGACTTCCCGTCGTTGGACAGGCAGAAAACTCAAAGAGATTAGGGGCACTTCATCGAATGATTTCATGTTTACTCTGGCACGTGGGCTTCATCAAGCATCAGATACCATCAAGCTGGTCTACATCACGCAAGATCCGTCTAAGCAGCCTGCTCGATGCCCTCTCTAGGACGCAGCTTAACCCACAGCGGCAGCTTCTCCCACATAATGTACGTTCCCTGCGGCGTCCACCAGTCTTCCGACAAATCGTTGGCCTCGAGGTCAAAGTACCACATCATCTTGGCGTACGCGAGGCTCATCTCGGCATACGCCATCCTGGATGCTGTCAGTTCATAGTCTAAGTTGTGAGTGATGTAGACTTACGGCTTTCCAATGCAAATACGCTGCCCGTAAGAAAACGGTTGAACAGCTGCCCTATCATCGTTGGCAAACTCGGAGCCGGGCGGCAGCTCAAGCCATCTCTCGGGCACAAAGTCACCAGGACGGTGGAAGTTGTGCTTCGAATGCCCGGCGGCGAACTGGTTCACCGCAACCGCATAGCCGCCCGGAACCCATTTCCCCTCGATCACCTCCCCCTCACCCGGCACCCAGCGCGGGAGCGAGCCGGGCGTGGGAGGATACAACCTCATCGCCTCGTTGATACACGCGCGGAGGTACTTACAGTTCTGCGCCGAGACCATCGTAATCTCCTCCCTTGTCTTAAACGCGCCCCTAACCTCATCCTTGAGCTTCGCCAGCTTGTCCGGGTTGTGCAGCAGAAAGTACGTCAGCCCAGACATGCCGCCGGCGGTGGTGCCGCTGCCGGCGACGATGAAGGTGCCCGCGAGCATGACGAGCTCAAAGTTGGACAGCTTGACGCCGTCGTCGTCGTTATGCAGGATGTACGACATGAAGTCCTTGCCGGGGTTCTTGGCCGCGATGCGCTGGCGCACCTTGGCCTCCGTCATGGCGAGATGCTTCTTGCGCGCTTCCGTGACGCGGCGCGGGGTCACCCAGGTGAGGAAGTCGAAGAAGCCGTACTGCACGGCGAGCTGGATCCAGACGTACGCGGTCGCGCGGCCCATGATGGCGCGGATCCAGGGCTGGTCGGCGTTGTCGAGGGCTCCTGCGGGAATGCCGAAGGCGAGGTCTGTCATGGATCAGTATCCTATCGGCTCTGTTCATGAGATTTCAACTCACCAGAGACGATGTCGAATGCAAGCAAGTTGAACCAGGTCGACATATCCACCGGCCCCTCCTTGCACCTCTTCATGAGCTGCCTCACCATGTTATCCGAGTGGTTCTGGAAGTAGTACTCCTGCTCGCGCAGCGCCTTCTCCGAGAAGGCCGGGTTGATCGCCCTGCGCAGCCTCGCGTGCCGCTCCTGGGTCTCCGTCATGAGCGTCTTGTGGCCGTTGAGCTTCGCGGGCGCGATGCCGCGGCCGTCGAGCGCCTTGGGGAACTCGGGGCTGCGCTGGCCGTAGATCTTCTTCCACGCCGCGCCGGAGGTGTACGACAGCTCGTCGGGCGCGATGCGCACCACGGGGCCGTACTGCTCGTGCAGCTCGCGGATCTTCCAGGTGATGCGGCCCTTCATGTTGACGTAGTTCCATGGCAGGCGGGAGATGGCCCAGAGCTTGGGGCCAGGGTAGTGGCGGAGGGGGCTGAGGTAGAGGTAGTAGAAGGACCTGCACGCGACGTAGCAGAAGATCTGGAAAGAGAAGTCAGATATTTGGTGATGGTATTTGCAGGAGGATGACTTACAAGACTCCAGAAGCTGAGGAAGATGTTGGTGAACGTCAAAGCTGGGAGTCTGCTCAGATGAGCAGCAAGCTGCTCGGGAATCTCTATCTTCACCATGATGGCTTACAGTCGCCGGGTTGGCCAAGAGTGACGACTTCTCGATCTCAGTGTCGACGAGCTCAGCTTCAATGGCAAGTTGAGAAAGCCAGATAGCTACAGAAACTCGGTTCCCAATCTCCTCCCATGGAATGCGTGGGCCAAGCTGGCAGTTCTTCGGAGCTCTCCCCGTAATGACACGCCCCATGGCATTCTTCAAGACAACGTGGAGCACAGACAGCTGGCCCCCAGCAAGGATCATAATCAAATCCGAAGACCATCTGCCAATGACGTGACGAAATCACGGCACGTTCCTGGCGCCCCGCATAGATGGGTTCGAGAAGGAACACGATAACGAGTCCCTCCCAAAAGTTCGCCAACCCGGCGTTGCATACGCGGATCGGTGACCGGGGAGCCCCTGACTGCCATCACCATACCCCTGAATGCCGGCCGATTTGATCCAAATATGGGGTGTTTAGCTGCACGAGAAAAGCTTATTCTACCGGCAATCCCTGAAGAGACCCGTCCCGCGGTGCACGAGTCAATGCTTGTTTGGAAAACAAGCTCACCAACCCCGTGCTTGGCTGTTCAAGTACCGAGCCACCGTTCGTGAAGGACCAAGAAGCTCATTGGCTGTAGATGACACGTGCAGTCTGAGATCTTCATGAGGGCGCTCAAGCTGATACCTCTGGGGAGTTATTCTGCGTTGAGGACTCCGCCTCAAGGGACCCTTGTCCCCAGACAGGGGACGTTTGGCTGTGGGGTCTGCAAGCTCAGGGTAGCTGTTCACGATAGCTAACATGTTGCGGAACGCGGTGGGGAGCTCAGGGTAGGAGACATGTGACGTCGCTGAGGTCGGTCTCTGAAGCTCCTTCAGCGCGGTGTTGGGCGGAGTGCGGTTCTCGATAGCTTCATCACCACTCTGGCACTTCGTGAACGCCAAGACAAAGTCAAAGATGACCACCGCGGCAGACAGAGAGAGTATCCAGCTAGAGCTGGTGCCGAAGCTTAGTGCTGAAGCGGTCCTCCACTGGCCTGAATCTGACGGATTCAACAAGTCCAACTTGCGGTTCACTGACTATGAGCGGCCGGTAAGACGAAAAGCTCCGTCTTTTGATCGAGAAGAACGGCTAACGTGAGCATTCAAGACCTACCTGGCGTCCATCTCACCAGGTTGTGACGACGATGTGATCGAGATCGTCAAGTACGCGAAAAGCAAGGGCGTTCCCTTTGCCCCGCGCTCCGGACACCATGCCGTCACGACGACGATGCGACATCTCAAAAACGGCATCCTGATCGACATGCGATCGTTGAACAAGCTCAGCTTCGATGCCGAGAATCGACAAGTCACGGTCGGGGGTGGTGTGATCACGGACGATTTCGTCAAGTTCCTCCAGTCTGTTGGGATGGAAGTCAGTGAGTAGTCTCGCTTGTCTCGATTGAAGGTTGTTCAATATCGCTAAAGCCGCAAAGACGTGGGATCTTGCCCGACAACGGGAGTCATTGGCGTAGCTTTTGGGGCCGGACTGGGTCGGCTCCAGGGCAAGTACGGTTTCTTGCACGACAATATGGTGTCTTGCAAGCTAGTTCTCGCCGATGGCAGCGTTGTGAGGGTCTCAGCAGAGACAAATCCCGATTTGTTCTGGGCCATCCGCGGCGCCGGTCACAACTTTGGTATTGCGTTGGAGGCAACGTTCCGCGTTTACCCGCAGGCGAATAAGGGTATTCACTACACCTGGGATCTGGAGTACACTGTCGACCAGTGCGACGATGTCTTCGAGACGCTGAACAGTGTTCATGAGGAGATGCCAGCCGAGCTGGCCATCTTCATCTTGTGGATTCGGCAGTCTGATGGCGGCAGAAAAGTGAGAATCCGTCTGACACCACTTTTGAATCTTTGCTAATCCTTTGTCGTAGCATCACATTCTCGTCAACCTCGTCTGGTCCGGAAATGAAGCCGAGGCAGATCCCTGGGTTGCCCGATTCGAGAAGCTCGATCCGGTGCTGAACAGCGGCAAGGTCACGACCGATTGGGCAGACCTCCCTTGGACGACATACAAAGGACAGAACAAGGTCCTCAGCAAGCCCGAAGTGTGGTCTCTGGCCCCAAACAAGATGATGGGCGCAGCCTGCGTCGAGAAGTTCGATCTCAAGACTACCAAGGCCTTCTTCGAGAGCGTCAAGTCTATGAACGAGGAGTGGGCTGGGAAGGGCTTCTTCGGAGCCATGTTTGAGTGTCTGCCGCACCAGAAGGTCAGGGAGCTACCGGATGAGGCGACAGCTTTCCCCTGGCGCTGGGGGTCGAACCATTTCTTGTGAGTTGCAACTGTACCGGTGATCGTCCTTAAAAAGACAGAAAAAGCTGACAGTGCTCTGAATAGGATGTTGATGGCTACCCCGATCAAACTGGAGAACAGAGCACCATTCGAAGCTCATCTCGACAAGTGGAAGAAGGAATTCATCGCCACTTCTGGATACGGCCGATTACAGCAATATGTCAACTATGGCAACACGACTTCTACGATGAAGGATCCCGCAGAGGCGTTGTACGGTTACGAGCCTTGGAGGTTGGAGAAGTTGCGAGCGTTGAAGATGATTTACGATCCCGATAATGTGTTTCGCTGGTACCAGCCATTGGTGGAATAATGCATTCCGTTCAGAAGTTCAGAGATTGAGTTTCTTTGGCAATTGAATAGAGTTTTGAATACCACATGGCATAGATATTATTCGCCTTATGTAAATTGCAAACGTCACAAAGACTACACAATTCCCTTTGATTCTTTCGCTATTTGGCAGTGTTTGGAGGGTCTAACTTTCTGAACATAGTCTCTCCAACTCACTCGCAATTCAACGTCAAATGCTACAGCAAATCCATTCCCAACATCCACAGACGGCCTCGGTGTTTTCGAGAATTGCGAAATCGGACTGGAAGCTGCCTCTCCACCACCAGGGGTGCCATGTCCCGATCTCCCCCGCGAGCAAACACAGCAGCGGGCGGGAGCCGACGAGAGACGCGTCACAAACGAGACAACAATGCCGGCGGCAATGCAGCCTCCATGAACATCGCTACTGGAGGACAACGACAGAAATCCCCCACGTGCTCACGAGAACCAGAATGTCTTATTACCATGGTGTCGGGTCTTCGCCAATCGTTCCAGCAATAGTAGGGGGTGTGTTAAGGTCCCGAGTCATTGCTGTGTATCACGGCCCCGCAAGCAATATCAAGAACCTCGCAGACCCATCCGTAATAGCCCCAGTTCAACGGCACAACTAGGGCCCCTCAACCACTTTGGCAGTCGACTTTTCCACAATGGAGACGATCCATTCTCAAACGTCCCCCGGATTTGAACCGCCCTTGGCAGGACCCTGGCCGATCGGGCTGTGGAACGGGTATCGCAAAGAGTCCGGGAGTTACTCCGGTGTGTCGGTCTGTCACCGCTACGAGGTAAGGCCCCCATAGGAGAGCTGCTCATTTTCGTAGAACGTGCTTGGAAAATCTGCTCGTATTGGATTGCTGCGTGAATCCATTCATTCTGATGGAGTATCGGGAGACGGATCTCTGGACAAGATGTCGCGTTTTGGAAACTTGAGCCGTTATCAGGACATGGGGGTTAAGATCTTTGACACTCTGGATCTGATGGATCAATCGCGCGGAAAGCTCCGAGTTGAGCACGCAGAGATGTCGATGAGAAGATATCTTTGCCCAAATTCCCTTCGAAATCTGGTTCCTCGTCTTTGGACCTTCTCTAGCCACCTTGCCTCTCACGCTGCCCTTCCCAACACCCCCAAAGATACCCAATAGCCGTCTTCGTTTGTAATAGTCTTTCTCTTTCCCTCACAACCAACCATTCATCATGCCTTTCATCCAAGAGGCCACTGGTCAGGCCGACCCCACCAGCCAGCCGATTGCCATCATCGGTATTGGCCTGAGAGCTCCTGGCGATGCTTCTGACCCGGAGAAGTTCTGGCAGATGCTCGTCGATGCGCGCTCTGCACGCTCCGAGATCCCCAAGGACCGCTACAATGTCGACGGCTTCTACCACCCCGACCCCGAGAGGCTGGGCAGCATCCAGCCCAGGTGAGTGGCTTCCGTCAGCAATGCAGGTCACGCGACACTATACTCATCGCTTTTGCCAGGCACGCCCACTTCCTCAAGCAAGACTTCAAAGTCTTTGACGCCCCATTCTTCTCCGTCACACCCAAAGAGGCCAAGGCCATGGACCCCACACATCGCATGCTTTTGGAAGCCACCTACGAAGGCTTTGAGAATGGTATTCCGAGCAAAAGACTCGATACATATGATCTTGCGCTGACATCTTCGCAGCTGGACTGAGACTGGAAGATGTCTCAGGAACACAAACTTCATGCTACATCGGTACCTTTACCGGTGACTTCCCTAACCTGCAAGCCCGTGATAACGAGGGACCATCGATCTACCGTGAGACAATTATATCCTTTACTTGAACGACGATGACTGACATAGCTTAGACGCTACTGGACTGTCTTCCTCCCTTGCCTCAAATCGCCTGTCATGGTTCTACAACCTGAGAGGACCTTCTATGACTATCGACACTGCTTGTTCGTCAAGTTTGACAGCCTTCCACCTGGCTTGCCAGAGTATTCGTACCGGAGAGGCGGAAATGGTAAGATGATGTCAAGATTGTGTATCATTTCTTCACTAACACCTTTACCACAGAGTGTCGTCGCCGGCGCCAACCTCATGTTCGGCCCGGACATGTCCATTCTCCTCGGTGCCGCCAAGATTCTCTCCCCCGAGGGAAAGTCCAAGATGTGGGACGCCAACGCCAACGGTTTCGCCCGTGGTGAGGGTTTCGGCGTCACCATTCTGAAGCCCCTCGACGCCGCCCTCCGCGACGGCGACACCGTCCGTGCCGTCGTGTTGGCGTCGGCAGCCAACGAGGATGGCAGGACACCTGGTATCTCTCTGCCCAACAGCGAGGCTCAGCAAGCTCTTATCCGCACGGCGTATCGCAACGCTGGCGTTGACCCGGCGGAGACGGGCTATGTCGAGGCCCACGGCACCGGTACCCAGGCAGGTGACCCGTTGGAGGCGCGCGCCATCCTCAACACCATCGGCGACCAGCCCGGTCGCAAGTCTGAGCTCTATGTGGGCTCAGTCAAGACCAACATCGGTCACTTGGAGGGTGCTGCTGGTGTCGCCGGTGTCATCAAGGCCGCTCTCGCCATCGAGAGGGGTCTCATTCCCCAGAACCTTTGGTAAGTCTCCGATAACAAAGGAACTCGGACGCAATCTAACCAAAGTCACAGGTTCGAGGAACTTAACCCCCAGATCGAGCTTCCTGATAAGGTCAAGATCCCCCAGACTCTGACTGTCTGGCCCAGCACTGGCCCTCGTAGAGCTAGCATCAACTCCTTCGGATTTGGAGGTGCCAACGCTCACGTTATTCTCGAGGACGCTGCTTCTTACCTCTTCCGCCATGGCCTCCCCGGACGTCACGCCACCGTCTCTCGCCCTCTCCTCCCCAAGTCTTCCACCTCTGACGACGGTACCGGAAGCACCGCCAGCGAGACAGAGCCCACTTCCAAGCTCATTGTCCTTTCTTCCAACGACCAAGAGGGTGTCAAGCGCAACGTCGAGCGTCTCAGTGAATATCTCGAGACCAAGACCGCGACTTCATCTACTTACATGAACGACCTCGCTTACACCATGGCTTCCAAGAGAACCGCTCTGCCGTGGAAGTCTTTCGCCATTGCCTCCGACGTTGCCACTCTACAGGAGAACTTGGACACCATCCCCGCCGTCATCCGCTCTTCAAACTCCACTGTTCCCCGTGTCGCCTTTGTCTTCACCGGCCAAGGTGCCCAGTACTTCAAGATGGGCAAGGGTCTGTCCGTCTACAAGGTGTTCCGCGACAGCATGCTCCGCTCCGAAACCGCACTGAAGGCTCTCGGATGCACATGGAACCTGACTGAGGAGCTCAGTCGCCCCGAGGCCGAGTGCAATCTGCGCTTCGCTGACTACAGCCAGCCCGCCTGCACTGCTTTGCAGGTTGCGCTTGTTGACCTCATGAAATCTTGGGGAGTTTTGCCTGTTGCTGTCGTTGGTCATTCCAGTGGTGAGATCGCTGCTGCGTACTGCGCTGGCTACATCGACCATGAGGCCGCCGTCAAGATTGCCTGGTTGAGAGGTCAGGTTTCCAGGACTGTCTCCCAGGAGGGTGGCATGTTGGCTGTTTCTGCTGGTGCCGAGAGCATCACCGAGCATCTCGAGTCTCTCAAGAATGGCAAGGCTATCGTGGGATGCTTCAACAGTCCCAAGTCGTGCACTGTGTCTGGTGATGGCACTGCCATCAACGAACTTCAGGAGGTCCTTAAAGAGGCTCAGATTCCTTGCACACGTCTGGGCATCGACGTTGCCTACCACTCTTTCCACATGGAAGCTGCCAGACAAGCCTACGAGTCTGCTCTCGCCGGCATTCCTCACAGCTCCTCTGATATTCCTCTCTTCTCTTCCGTTACGGGCGAGGTCGTTGAGCCTGAGCAGATGAAGCCTTCTTACTGGGTGGACAACCTGGTCTCCCCGGTCAACTTCGTCGGCGCCGTTCGCTCGCTGTTGCACCACACCCAGGGCAAGACCAAGTCTCACGACAGATCAGCTTTCGCCAGCGTCTTCGTCGAGCTTGGTCCTCACTCTGCTTTGAGAAGCTACCTCCTCGACACCTTCGCTACCGAGGATCGCTTCTCTGACTTGTCCTACGCCACTGTTCTCAGACGCAAGTTTGATGGTGTCCAGGCTGCCCTGGAAGCCGCTGGTCAGCTCTGGGCCAAGGGATGTGTCGTGGATGTCAACAGAGTCAACGAAATCAGCGACAGCCCCAACATGCTGGTCGATCTTCCTCCTTATGCTTGGAACCACACACGTGCCTTCTGGGATGAGTCTTACCTCAGCCGCGAGTACAGACTCAGGGAGAAGCCCCGCACCGATCTTCTGGGCTACCGCATCCCCGGTACCCCCGATCCTACTTGGCGCAACTTCCTTCGTTGCAATGAGAACCCCTGGATCCGCGAGCACAAGGTCCAGGGTGACATTTTGTACCCTGGTGCTGGTATCGTGGTCATGGCCATTGAGGCAGCTCGCCAGCTTGCTGAGGAGCACGCCGAGGAGGAGGTCTTTGGATACGAACTCCGCGATGTTGCCATCGACACTGCTCTCAGAGTGCCTGACACCGACAAGGGTATCGAGGTCATGATTCAGCTGCACCCCCGACGCACTGGAACCAAGGCTGGTCCTTCCGCCACTCTCAACGAGTTCGCCGTCTCCTCTTGGTCCGAGGAGATCAAGGAGTGGACGGTCCACGCCCGCGGTCTGGTCTCTGTCACTTACAAGTCTTCACTGTCTCCCGCTATGCAGCGTGAGCTGGCCCTTGAGAACGAGCGCTACGCCAAGTCCTTCGCCGACGCCAAGGAGATATGCCAGAAGCCTGCCCGCAGCTTCCTCTACGACACCGTCGAGACCATTGGAATGCAGTACGGTCCGACTTTCCGCAACATGACCGAGCTGTTCGCCGGTCCCAACTCCAGCTACGGTGTTATCAGCGTTCCTGACACCAAGGCCGTCATGCCCAAGGGCTTCGAGTACCCTTCCGTTGTCCACCCGGCTACTC